GGTACCGTTTTTAGTGAGGTGAAGTAGTATTTAGAATCGAGTACCCTATCAGGGCTTCATTTCTGAAATGATTTATTTATTTATTTATTATGTACGCCATATGAGATAGCGTGAGAAAAAAATGTAACAAACATAACAAGTGTAACAAAACAGATACGATACAACATACTAACACTTCTCAAGAATAGATAAGTGACAACTATGCTTGTAGAATACTTTTACCTACTGCCCGTTTGAAGGAGCCCAGAGAACCGTGGATGGTAGTAGCCTTGCTGGCTTGCAAGTATGCAAGGCCAGCCCTTATCGTGAAAAAGTTTCGTCTAGTGCTTGTTTTGGGCCTAGAAAACGATAATTTAAGCTGACCACCCCTAGTTATGGAAGGAATTAAACTGTAGAAATCCGAAAAATTAACCGCGGATTTGCCTGTCAACAATTTGTGTAACATGCACAGGTCAAAAAGCTTGCGCCTAGACTGGAGAGAGGGAAGATCAAGATATTTGTTCCTAAAGACTGCCTTGGGAATTCTGGAATACAAAAAACCACCACGACGGATCAGAATTTTCCTGGTAAAATTGTTTTGAATCCTTTCTAATAACATAATGTCCTTTTTCTTGCTCGGGCAAAAGACGACAGTTCCGCTCTCTACTAGGGGACGTACATAGGATTTATATACACGAACAAGAACACTTGTGTCTTTTGTGGAAAGCGCCTTAAAAATCTGGTAGGTTCGGTATAATGCAATACGATGAATGTGGCTACAGTGGGGCGAGAAATCAAGTTTGTCATTGTAGTGAAAGCCTAGGTCCTTAACCTCTCTAACCTTTTTAAGTTCCATGCCTTGAATGAAGTAGGAGGCACCACCTGGAAGAGGGACCTACACGCATATGAAGCGTCTTTGTGTGGGAGAGGGGAAGTTGCCACTCTGCAGACCAATGAACTAGCCCGTTAATCGCAGCCTGTAAATCGAGAATATCCTGGGAAGTATTTATGACTTTATAGAATTTCAGATCGTCAGCGTATTGTTTGCAAGCGACATTGAATTGCCTGCAGCAGTACCCCAAATCTGCACAATAAATATTAAAGAGTATTGGTGACAGCACACCACCTTGTGGGACACCACTCTGACAACTGAAACCTCGGAATAAGCAGAGTTCATACGCACTTGAAATGTTCTACCACTAAGAAATTCCTGTATCCACCTGCAAACTTTATCATGGAATCCCAGTAACTGCAATTTATACAACAATTTCCTGTGGCTAACCTTATCAAATGCCTTTGTGAAATCAAAATAGATTACGTCCACGCTCTGTTTATTGTCTAAAGCCATCGTCCAATCATTGAGCGATTCTAACAGATTCGTGATTACTGATTTCCCTTCAACGAAACCATGTTGTGAGGATGGTATTATATTGTTTTCGGCTAGATAACGGAGTATGTGAGCTTTAAGAATTTTTTCAAACAGCCTAGAGAAAATGGATGTAATACTAATTGGTCTATAGTTGGAAATGTCCGAAGAAGCATCATTTTTAGGTATAGGAGTAATATATGAGTGCCTCCAGAGACGAGGCACTTGTGAATACATGATAGATTGGTTGAATAAATAAGAAAGTGGAAAAGCTATAGCATGGGCAACATTCTTCACGAATGCAAAGGGGATCTCATCAGGCGTGATTGAATAGGAGGAAGGCCATCTCATCAAAAAATGAAAGATATCATTGGGGTCAAAATAAGGAAAAGTTTGCATTTTTGAGCCTACTGTGGGAGCAAAATGTGGGAGTTTATTGTTATCCTGGTGGTATGCAGTGGAAAACTCTCGCGCAAAAGCATTGGCCTTATCATGATCATTCAGTAGAATCCTCCCATTAACTTTCAGACCATAAAAATTCGGCCTTTCCCGGAGCTTAGATCCCAGATATTTGAAGAAACGTTGCTTATCCTTTGCTTCAACTATTTTCTTTTCCATACTCTTATTATATTTGCATAATTTCTCAGAAAACTTCTGTGAAAAAGCTCTGAATTCCGTCCAATCACCACTTCGTTTGGCGTATTGCAAAAGGCACTCCTTATGATCCATCATATTTTGAAGATATGAGGGTAAATTAGGCCTGCTAGGAAAAACGTAGGCCCAGGGGACATACAGCTGTATGGCATGTTTGAGAATAGTCAGAAACATCAAATATTTTTCATCCACGGTAGAAACCGACTCAAAGGAGTCGACCCATAGTACGCTAAAGAGGTAGTTCGTAACAAGGGAATAATCACATTTGGAAAATAGCCTTTTGAAAACGGGCACACAAGGTAACTCAACTCCGGTGATGTCAAAAGTGATGCTTAGGTGGTCGCTGTCGCCAATTGATGACTTAACTAAAACGTTGCTTATAAGGTTCAAGTCATTACAGAAAAGCAAATCTAGGATGCTCGAACCTCTAGTGGGCTCCTTAATGTACTGCGCGAATCCGTGACAAGCAAAAGTATTGGACAGAGGGTGTGCAATGTCCTTGGAAACATTCCAATCGGCCCATTGACCTCCGGGAGGTTGAAGTCACCTACGACAACCACAGGGAATGTGACTGCAGTTAGGTCGCTAATGGCTTTAGCTAATAGCTCATTGATATAAGACGAAGTGGAAGGTGGTCTGTAAACTACGACAAGCCTAACACAGAACTCCAGATGCATTAAATCCGCGGCTAAAATTTATAACCCTTAGGAATAGATTCAGACAGTATCGTTGTGAAGTTTAGAGGTTTTCTGATGAACATCGCCACACCACCTCCAGCCCTACGACTCCTGTCACAACGGAGTACAGCATAATCGTTTATCCAGTTACCTAGCATAGATGCCACCATATGCTGTTTCTTGAACCAAGTCTCAGAAAATAGATAAACATCATACTTGTCACATATCACCATATCGAAATAGGTGCAGTTTTTTGGGAAGGATCTGACATTAGAGTAGAAAATCTGGATACTTGAACATGAGGAAGAAATATGCGATCCAGAGAGAGAATACCGAGGACAAGAGTCTAGTTTCCCTGAGTGGCACCAGTGCTACGCTGTGCCGGCTCAGCGCTTACCAAAGCTATGAGGCAAGGAGCTTGAGTTTGGGTGCATCATGCGTTCTTCTCGAAGACGCTTCCTCTCTGCATTCGTGCGGGACTCTCTAAGGAATACCCCACGACCGGGAAAGAAGCGAAGTCGAGAAGCACGAGAAACTGCTAATCTTGAAAATAAGACGATGGCAACACAACTTTAAGTAATCTGTCTCTGCCCATGGTCGGGCGTCCGAGCCTATAAACAGCCACGGGTAAACAATCAACATCAAGATACTCGAGAATGTTCAGAACGCTATTGTTGTCATAAAACAATTTCCTACGGATGCTACATTCTTTGAGTTCAGGTACACCTGCTATAACATAGACCTACGTCGCTCAGATTCTTGACAATCAATAACATCGGAACGTATAGTATTGACAGGTTGATCTACAATAGGCTCGGTACTACTCAGCGGAACATCAGGAGCTAGACCTAGTTTTTGGCGCAAGATGAGATTTTCTTGTCGCAACTGATCCCGCTCAAGTTTGACTTCACTTAGCTCTTTTATCAGCGTGTTGAGTGCAGCCTTCACACAATCAGGGACCAGCGAAGAGGCGTTGACTTCCCGCATGACATCCTCAAGTCCAGCAGGTTGGGACGGCGAAGATATGGGAGAAGATGACGGGCATGACCTCTTTGTGCCCTTAAAAATACCTCGAAGGGGAGTACTCATTCCAAAAAAAATAAAAGATAGCTCGTCAAAACACCTGTTGAGACGACCCAGTTGTACAGTATTGATCACGGGCCGTGGTGATCTGCGCGTAGTGGAAAATCAATCCAATAATAGCACCGTTTCGAGCCAAGAGCGGATCCCCAGTGCACTTCAGAATAGACAGCAAGGTAGAACAATGTAAACCAACAGCACCAGGAGACTCGAAGAGAATAGCAGACAGAGGCCTCGCAATTAGAAACAGTAGTGGAACGCAGAAATACCGATGTTGCGAGAGCGCCTCAACAACCGACCGCTCACGGGCGAGCAATGAGCGGGAA